ATGAATAATTGCGACATCACAAATTCAGTCAATTGTAGCGAGAGAGTCGTGGGTGGTGGCGGTAAATCGAACAGCCAACCACGTTTGTTTTTTTTTCTGACACAGATATCAAATACTCGTGACCTTCCAATAAACTTGTTTCCAAAAATTAACTTTCTCTTTTAAATTTATAATGGTATACAAAAAAATAACTATGCAGCTCGTTTATAATGTTGCTTTATGGCATTCGTACACATTTGAAAATTTGCTCCCAACGTCGCTCGTTGTCAAAACTTCTACTGATGCAATGAATATTAACATTACAAAGTAGTTTAATAATATTTATTTGCATTCTGATTATGGTTCGACTAGAGTTGCAAACAGGTGATATTGTGAACGTTGTAGAGATTGAAATCAGCAGCCACTGGTGTATGACCACTCGCCAACTACGATGTTTTCTTCAGCCCTTCTGTAATTCAAGAGAAATGTACGTGTCTCCTGCATATCTTTCACCTCCTTTAGTAACATAGATCTCGCAAGTACACATTATGCCCCATATCTCTACCCCCTTCATTCTGCTGCCATCAATTCTGGCAACCTGTAGTTCTGGTGATGGTAACTGCACTGAAGTGTCAATACGTGAAGTGCTTTACCATTTACGTACTTGCGCACTGTACTAGAAAGTGGTTTGTAACTGTAATTATTCTGAAAAAATAAGAAATAAAAACTTGATCCCGATGAACCACTCTGACACTATGATGACGTTTAAGCTCCCGATCGGATGAAACTGTTTGCAGCTTATACCTGCCAGGGGCAGAGTTGGATGAATCGCGGTGTATTTATTTCACGACTGGTCGAACAGAAAAAAGTGATGTTCGGCCGTGCGTATTACATATTTGGTTCTCACCCAGCGTTCAGATTAATACAGTTTATTCTGGAGTAGCATCATAATTACTTCATATTGCCAATGGGGTGTCTAAATTGAAATATCTTGTACTTTCGAAATGATTTTAATTTGTTTTCCGATTTAATTATAGGCACTTCTGTTTGATCAGTTGTAACGCGATTATTTAATCGGGAGCTCTGATACCAAAAAATGAGTCGTAACGAATATCCCTATTGGATATCCTTGTCCTGCTGATTAAGTCAGAAAGCGCTGTAATTTAATCTTAGTATAGAGTTACAGAGGAAAGTGTGTAGCGGGTTGCCTATATTTTAAATATGTGATTTTGCATATCGTCGACGTTTTATCAGTGATGCACCACTAGATGCCCTCTCCACTTCGTTTTTGTATGAAGCTTCGAAAATCTAAAACAACACGTCATATCGCTTTTGCGACAGGAGAATGTCTCGTGTAGTGTGAAAGCGATTCAGTTTGTTTGTAATGGGGGGGGGGATAAAATGTTTACGAATGTGCTGACATATTAACAGCTAGCCCTTGAATAGAAATGTTCTTCCGACCATTATTTTTTAAATTGAATGTTAAACTAGTAAAATGTGGTTTTACCAAATACTATAATATTAGAACTGCAGAGAGTGGAGGTATGGAGGCTTTGCTCATAAAATACTATTTCGGAGGAATTAACTTTCCATGCTGTTCGTCCGACGTGGTCTTTTGGAAGCTTCGGTGATGTTGCTGTGAGAAAGGAACGATTCACAGCAATGCATGCTCATAAATAATTACTTTACTGCAATTTCTTAAATTATAGTTTTTTTCGCGCTTACTGCATTTTTTTGTTACATTACTTCATCCTTCCAGTAGTTTACAAAATGATGCATTTTCTACAGGAGGCTTGAGCATATTATTAGTTCGTGGATAAATTACTTCCTTTCTCTTTCCCAAATCTAACTTCTGCAGAAGGTGAAAGTATTATTCTATTAAGAAGAAAAGGAGTTATTAAGTGTTGTAAAGATGTGCTCCAAGGGTGCGAATATATCGTTGAAGCAATATTAAAAGCTCATACACATTATATTACCCTTTCCTAATTGTAAACTTTATCATAGGATGGACACGATCTAAAAATGACTGGAACGTTTGTGATCGGAGTGGTGGTTCTAGAGCTGCTGCAGTCGAAATGCATGGTGTTGCCTCTTTGTTCGAATCCGATGTCGCAGAGGGAGGGCCGACGCGGGGTGCAGGCGAGCTGGGCGGAGGGCGTCGCCGCGCGATTGTGGTGATGTGGGGCAGAGGGAGAGGAGGTGATGCGGCGGCGCAGAAGAGGCCTCTGTGCGTCTCCGCCGCGGACGCTGTGATGGAGAGCGCGCGCGCCACAAGGCGCTTCTGTTCGGCACCGCGCCCCCGCCCCCCGGGCCACCGCCTCCGCGGCCCCCGGGAAACGCCCGCCTCCGCGCTCGGGCCCTCCGCTCTCGCGCACGCGCACCGGCAACCACCGAGCAAAGAAAACTGGGGCAATGACAGTAAACCGAGGAAATGGACACGTTGAATTTGACATTTCTGCGCACATCAATCCGCTAGGAGGCATTCTTTTTTATTTTACATTTTTATTGATGTGTTATAGCTTGTTATTGCCTTCAATACAAGTTCGAAACACGTAGCATAAGTTACCTGGATCGAGGGAAATATGAATTTGATGATGAACTTTAATGATGCTACATGTTTCCTTACGGAGGGAAATATGAAAAGACAAGCAGAATCAAGTTAACATCTATTTAATTAGTAAGTAAGTAAATCTCAACGAATAAAGTTAGGTGAAAAATAAAATTATGTTAATACCACAAATTTTAACTGGTTTAATCACCTCGGGTAACAAAACACTACCACAAATGTTCACTACTTTATTTCACTTGGACAATTCATTTGAAAGTTTTGTAATTTTTTGTTTACAGTGAATTCCCGTAATGTATTTACAACGGTTTTTATGTCATTAATGTATTATATTGATACAAACTTAATTTTTCCTCCATCAGTGCATTGTGTGATGCCTCTACAAACACTTTTTATTAAATCTTGAAATTGGTGACCTATATGAATTGTCATTGTACTGCAACCTATTATATTGGCCTGCATTGTTTTTGATATCTGTAATATTTTATTCGTTTCTTTAAGTGTTATTCACACTTATTCTGCAATCGGTATTTTCATATCAGCTCCATTTTTTCTTCTTCTTTTTTTTTTCCCCCTCTCTCTACTAGCCAATATGTTTTTGACATTTGTGGTCTTTATTAGATATTAATGCTAATACAGTATATTACTTTTTTAGGAAAAGTATTATAATTGCTGGAAATTCAGTTATCTTTAACATGTACTATTAAGTTCTTCTATTTAGTACATGTTAAAGATGACTAAATTTCATCAATTAACATGAATAGAAAATGTAAAAATGACCCAAATATGGTTTGCTCCATAGTATGTGGTAAAGTGACGTTGCCAGGGCAAAGATCAAACAGTAAGAGTTCATAATTTGTGAAGGCCAGCTATTACTATTATGCTTATTTTGAAATGAGTTGAGACATCAGGAACTATACTTCACAGCTACAGTGTGTGTTACAGTAGGCTTAGACGATGAAACAAGGGAATCGTAAAGGCAATAACCAGTTGCTGAATCTATGGTGTGGAGGGAAGGAAAGGATCATTTAACATATACTACCTTTTCATGACAAAATTACAAGGTAATAATATTGAGAGATTTTATTTTATATTTCAGAGGTAGAGAGGTATCAAGATTGTTGTGACATCAATATGATGGTTGACTTTTGTTGGTGTCTGAAAAGAGATGAACGTGGAGCCATACATAAGTGAAAGGCGCTTAAGTAATCATTTCTATAAAATATTATCCTATTTAAAAACTCTAAAATATAACAAAGGAAAAGTGAAATAGCTACGTTTAGTTCAATCATTCGCATTGTTATTCTCGAGGGATGCATACAGAAATGAAATACAAGGGTATCATTTTTTCCTCAATATTAAGTTTTTTTCAAAATATAATTGTCCATTAACAAAGGTTGCACTGAAATTATCTTGTGTTTAATTCATCTTACAATTACCTTCATATAAAATAAGTTGTCATGTGTTATCATGTCATAAAATAAGTTGTCATGGTCAATAAGTTATTGACCCTCTATAAACATAAGTCTTAATGGTAAAAGCAGTATGTGTAGTGTTAATAGGATCCATAGCATAAAACCTAGGCTTGATTGAGGATAACTAATATTATTTTCTAGTTCAACATGGTCAATTCCTATAAAAAAGTTGAAAAAATGTAAACATCATCACTTTCTTTTAAAATCGCAAGCCAGTGGTATGTGTGCATATAACACTGTTTGTCTTTGTAGTATATGATTCTCAATACAACTTCTATCGTGAGTGTGTGAAGGGGGGTCTATCGAAAATAAGGTTTCTGGAAACTCAGATTGCAATTGGCCATCTGATACCCAAATTGGAATTTGGGGCACTACAGCAAGAAGAGAGAGGCAAAATATCAGTGTTGATTATATAATTAGTGGGAATGAGAATGCATGAAGAGAACATAAAGTTAGTAAGAGTTGGACAATTTTTTAATGTAACAAATACATTTAAATTGTATCAGATACATTTAAATTGCTTTTGGTTTTTATGATTTCATGCATAAATTTGTTCTCTGCTTGCATACCATGAAAAATTAGTGGACATAAGTTGAGAAAATACAACTATTTCTTCAGAAAGTGGTCTGTACACTTTTCGTCTGGAAAACTCCCAATGTTATATTTCCAATGTCCAGCTTCAAGAAGGAATCAAAATATTTTTAGAAAACTATTTTAATTTTTTGTGGACATATTATAAATGTTTAACTAAAATTGATGAATTCAATTAAGACTTTTTAATTCTTGGGAAGAAATAGGTTAAGTATAAAATTAAGTCTATCCTTCTTACTATCTTAATGCCAGGAAAATTTAATATTAAACCTCTTTACATAACGCTGACTGCAAACAGATTATGTGATGTATGGTCATATCACATAATTACAAATGACGTACTAGTGTAGGGGGTGCATATGTGCTAACATGTGTGCTGATGGGTGCAGGTACCTGATTGAGAATGGGGGTGATGTGGCCGCTGCCAACAATGACGCAGAGCTGCCTGTGGATCTGGCGGAGACGGATGAGATGGAGGAGCTGCTGCGGGAGGTCCTCATTGACAGAGGTATGCTCTCCTACCCACCCACTCTTGCTGAAATAAAAGTCGAGGAAAAGAATTTTAGAACCTTTCATCCACAATATAACCCTTTTCAATTCTCTTAGGATATTTTTCTTGGCAAAATCTTGATGAGAAGATTGAACCTTTAAATTTTTAAGTGTACAATATACAATGAAAGGTGAAGGGGAACAAAACAGAATGGCTTACACTTTGTGTGCTAAAAAGAGGATCAGATGGGGGGTATCTTAAGAAAAAGTAATTGTCAAAATGGTTTAACAGTGCTAATGTGCCACATTTTAATATTGAAAATAGATTTTCACAAATTACGAATATTAGACCCCACTGGAATCCAAACCTGGAACTTTTTTTTATCCAGAAAGTTGCTCTAACCATTTGCGCTACGGAATCAAATCTTGCATGTGTAACAGTTTCATAATTCCTTTTGGCTATCTAATCAAATGTTGCATTTGTGGCAATTTCATTTTCACTTTTTGTACCAATTGTGCGATAATATAAGATTGCTGATTTTTATAAGATGGTTAAATTCTCAGGAATGCACTATTTGTTTCCAACAGTTAAATTTTGGTTGATTAGAGTATTTGTCTGTATTGGAGAAGATCGCGTGCTTGAAACCTGGTGGGATCAAATATTTGCACTTAGCCAATCCATTTTTGATAGTTTGTAAGATATGGATAAATTGCCAGCCATCTTAGATTACTTAGAAAGCAAAGTACGACTCTGCCTTATCTAGGAGTGAACATCTTTTAACCAGGATTACCTGGGAAATTTTTGTTTGGTGTTTTTTATTACAAACTAGTTAAATACTGTTTTCTGAGTTTTGTTTTGGGAATTCTTTTTCCCAAATTACTTCTTTCACCTTCTCATCCTTCAAAGCCTTAAATGGAAACCATATACCTCACTAAATGTCATCACCATTCGTGGTTAGTTGCTGGGATTAATCCTACTATATTTTCCACGATTAATGCAGATTTATAGACATCAAAGTTTTGAATAGGCTCTTCTGAGTGTTCAATAAAATTATTTAATTATGATTTCTATTAGTTACTTTAGAGGCTTTAAGGATAATTTTCATGAACACAGCTTAAATTGATAGTTATGTAAGTTAACCAAGAACTGAAATTGACTTTTGAACAAATTTAGTTTCATAGGCATAACTTTATGAAGTAAACTCCAACGAAAGTAAACTTTAATGAGTTACAAAAGTTAAAAGTTACTATTATATTTCACAACTGGTAAACATTCCATTCCAACTAGCCCAGGGAACTGAGATCTTTCATACACACAACAAGCATTTTCATAACATTCGGCTTCATTTGGGAGTGATACACACTGTGTACGTGAGTCTTCCGAATAAACAACAATCAACCATGGATACTCTTTTAATTATTCTGCATCCTTACTCCTTGCAAATTGCCAGCAACAATTTGAAAGTTACTTGAAAACCTAAAAAGTGCATCAACTATTGACATTGACAAAATAAAATTCAATAAATGAGTAGCTGAACATACCCTCACCAAATATTGACAACCCAATGTTAATATTTTTTTTTTTAATTGTGATTTTACCTGTTGAATAACATCTTTGGGAAAATAAAAACTGAGTTGTGGGAGTCCTCTTCCATGATCCTATCTCAGGTCATTTCTCGACATGATGAAAATCGGTTATTTCAAAGTGAGGTTGCTTTCTAAGTGTATCTTCTTCAAAGTAATGACTATTAAATGGAAATACTTACATGCTAGCTTCAGAGTTTGAGTCAGACTTAAGTATAGTTCACAGATACAACCCTTAAACAGTTTTACATTTACAAGACTCAATGATAAATAAGACATAAAATATTTTTCTTGTCAATATGCTCAATTAGAAGAACAGCATGGGATATTGATTTCATGCAAAGAAACAAAGGATTCTTCTGTAATAATTATTCTGTAGTACTTTCTTGAAGTGAACTTACTTTATTGTTTCCTTAACCATTTTCAAATAAGCTATGCCTTTTTCATTAATGCCAGATCAAAAGTCAGGATTCCAAGGAATGTTTTACAACCCAAACTACCCAGAACAAATGCCTTTTACTGAGGTTCCTTTGTCCAAACTCAGATATAATGCCAAAATTTCAAATATGCAGACATCACTAAAACAAACTTTGAAAAAAATTGAACAAGAATCTATTCTACAAGAATTCTTCTTGAAATTCTTTTGCAAAAAATTATCTCACTTTTGTTTCAAATATAGCAAGGTTGCATTCAAGAACCCATGTTCCCAAGCAGGATAGTTTTTAGGAGAACTTTTGGTCAAACTTTCTCCTTTTCTTCTGCCTGTCTCTTTCTCTTATTCGCTCTTTGACTCCTTTCTCTTTTTTCTCTCTAGAAATTAAAACTTCATTCATATGTTTAGGTAAGACTGTACGTGTGTTCGGCACATGCGAATTACAGAGTTTACTTTTGACTACTGTTAATTTTTTGACATAAGAATAAATTTTTTAATACAATACGATTGTAGGTTATCACAAAAGGCTTATTGGCATGCCAATTTAAATGTACATAGATTTAGTGTGTCTGCTCTGAGCACCCATGCAAGCTACAGAAAGAGGGTTCCTAGAAGAGCTATATCTCCGAAAATGTATCAGACGATAGAAAAGGATCTCATTTTGTAGAAAACTGCTTAAGAAACAAAATTTGGCCTCTACCTAATACAATAATTGCTTATGTAATTGTTAATTTACCTTTCTTTGACATGACTTGTATGAAATATACATGAATCCAAATGATATCTGTTCAGGCATTGATTGCGAGGAGGCCAGAAATGAAGAGCAGCAGATGATGGTGTCGCATGCAAAGGAATGGCTAAATGGAGGAGTATGTAAGGATCAGCCACATCCAAAAACTGGTGCAACATCTCTCCATGTTGCAGCAGCAAAGGGTTACATCAAAGTTATCAGGTTTGAATTCTTATTAGTCTGAAAACTACACTACATCCAACACTTCACCTTCTTTAAATTTATCATAATTTCATAAATTTGCCATAATTATAAAATTATTCACAATTTAAATGGATTTTTGGCTTTAAAATTTCTTTGGAACTTGGCATATTGGTTAATTGCAAATTTATTGGCAATTTATTTTATATCACAGAATAAATAATGTTTATTACCATTTCAAGGTTTGTGAATTGGATTGTTTCACAGTTAATCATTGCAGACCTTTTGTGCAAAATGTTTTGCTTTCATTCAAGGTTGTGTTTGTATGTATTGATATAGGCATCACAAATGTGTCGCCAAGAAAATTTCAGAAATGATTCTATTTATGCTTTGTTCACAATTAAAACAAAATTGATAATGCCTTATTACAATATATAAATGAGCCTGTGTTTGTGTATTATATCTGCAAATCTGACAAGAAGTACTATTTTCATTACAGTATCTTGTTACAAGCTGGTGCTGACATTAATGTTAAGGACTTTGATGGCTGGACGCCTCTGCATGCAGCTGCCCATTGGTGTCAGAAAGAAGCTTGTGAGATTCTTGTAGAAAACTTCTGTGATATGGATATTCGAAATTGTGTGGTAAGGTTGATGAAAAAAGCTATAAAGATGTTTATTTTGATGCAATTGAGGCTGCTTTTCTCAATTATGCAATTGTTTTTGAAGGGTCAGACTGCTTTGGATGTTGCTGATCCAGATATGGTTCCTGTGCTTGAAGAACTCAGGAAGAAACAGGCAACAATGCAGAAGGATCGTAATGATACTAATGCAATACTAAATAGGAAAGGGGTTAACACGCAAAAGAGACGGTTAGCATTTTTCTTTGCTTTCAACTTACTCGTGTCATGTCTTTGTTTTTCTTTGACATTTATTTTAGGAATATTTACTTATTATAATATATTACATTTCAAAAACACCTTTTACTTGAATATCTACGATCTTCTAAGAGTGAAACTCAAATTTATTGCTTATTTTGGAAATTGTGTGTCAAAGTAAACGTGCTCTAAGTTAGTAGCTGTTGTTAAACATCGAACAGTGGTGGCTCACCAGGGGGAGGGAGTGAAGTCATTCTTCATCAGTAATGATCATCTAACTGTGGCAACTTACAGTAGGTGGCCTAATGATTAGGGATAGTACTAAGATTTTTGTGTTTTGTAGTTTAAATGCAATTTTCAAACAAATTATTGGTTTTTGGTCTCAGAGGTATTTTTTATCCTTAAGATTGTATAATTAAAATTATAAAAACAACAACATATCTAGGTAAAAGTATTTTTAGATAAAATTAATTCTAGAAATCAGTGAAGCCACTCACAAATGCAATTACAGCTTCAGTGTGTTGTGGCACACTCTCTATACAGACTTACGCATTTTGTTTTTGTTCAATATTGTGAAGCCATTCCTTGTTAAGAATTTCATTTAACTGTCTCTTGGTGATGATCACTTGCTTGGCTATCAACCGATTGGGGAGTTACCATGTCGCTACAGGGTTCGTGTTTGGTGAATTCCCCGGCCAGGGCAAAAAGGTTTTCTTTTTTTTGCCAAGGATGCAGTAATTCTCTTAGCTTTGTGACTTGATCCTGGGTCATGCATAAAAAGTGTATTCTTAATCACCAAGATTAATCACCAATCTTCGAGCTATGACATTAGAAGAGTTTGTTGTACTCTCTTCTACTGGTCTTGCCTCATGATTCCTTCTACGAAACATAGGCCCTTCGCTGACTTATATACCCTTCGTTCACGTCATAGACCTCACCATGACATTAACTGGAAGTTAAACCCTTTCTACGAGGTAGTCTGAATGGAACTGTTCCCCCGGGTGTCGGACAAATGAACTTGTTGACTGGCTAATTTCACTCTCTTCTTCTTCATGGGCTGGGTGAAGAGTGGTTTTTGGTTTGGGCCTATCAGGTTCTTTTCGCCTAACCATCTCCAGACTATTTTGAAAACTGTTACTCCCTCAGTGTTTATCATGATAGACAGTCAGGCAACACCTTCTTTTATTTTTGAGGGAAAAATCCCTGATTATACGATTGGTTCAAAGACTGGTGATTCTTTTCCTTCTCATTTACCCACACGGCATGCTTCCAGTTGTTTTTCGGATCAATTTTTATTTTTATTCTGTTAACAACACTTCTTGAAACACCTGCCACGGTTGCTATATATCTATGACAATGTGTGGAGGGAAGTAATAGTGTTTGAATTTTTCTATTTTTCTTTGGAGACGTGTCTCAAAACAATCACTTACTAAAAATTCAAAATTTTGAGGTTGTGATGTTACATTATAAACTAAACTAAAATTCACTCATAAAATTTAGTGAAGCTATGCAGTAAGGAAGGATATTTAAGTTTTGATTATTTAAGGAAAAGTTTGCAAAAGATAATTAAAAAATTATTTGCATGTCTTCATTTCAGCAGCAGTTTTCATTATACTTCAACTGAATGAAAGTAATATCACTTATTTCTTAAGTAACATAGACATACAGTGTTACCACTTATTATAAGAATAGTAATGATATGGTAAAGGAAATTATCTCCACAAAAGTTTTAATAATTTTTATTAATAATTTTCCGGAGTTAACTTTCGGGAAAACACGTTTCCCATCCTCAGTGGATCTCTAGCAAGGAGGAGAAATGAAAACATTAACGCAAGTTGAACACAAAAAAGGGAGGATATTGTGAATTTAATGGAAAAAATAAACAAATAATATCATATAAATACAAATTGAAAATTATTGCCTAAGCAACGTGGATCACCAACGAATGTTCACCACATAGTCAAAAAATATGTAAACTGAAAAACGTGCTGGTTACAGCTAGGTGGCAGCCATCTTTTGGAATGGGAGAAGAGGAAGCCTACACTAGCCTACTGTAGCAGAAGCAAAAAACAATTCAAACAAGAAATTACACAAATTTGAGAAATGCCCCTAATAATTTGGCCACCTATTAAACATTGAAGGAAAGAACAAATAATATCTGCTTTTAAAATTTGTCTACCATCCCTCAATATTGCTTCAGTTCTCTTTTGCTTGCATCTTGGCAACCCAAAAACATGTTAACTTTATATTTATTCTGCTATGTGAGATGAAGGGTTTTGAGGTCTTTGTTGAATGTCTTCATTTCTGGTACCATACCTTGAAAATGAAAGCGAGATCACAGAATATTTTCAATGGATGAAGTGTTTTCATTGTCCACTTCAGATTGCTGCACATTCAGTACGTTTTGGTGCTAGTTATCGTTTCTGTTGCAATGATTTTGCATTCCCGCGAGGTCATTAATTTTCATTTTTACACTCATCCTAGTGTCAGTCCAAGTTTTCAAGTAGTCAAAGGAAGTTTTTTTTTTTTTTTTTTTTTTTGTCATCCTTGAAAATAAATGTTATGACAGCACTCTTCCATCTCCTTAGAGCTTTACTTGATATCATTGATCTCTCAAATCATCCTTCCAGAACTGGAGCCAAACCCAGTTTCTAAGTAGGATTTATGGGATTCCAATTCCTTGTATTTTTTTCTAATTCCATAGTTGTGAAATATAAATCATTTCTTCCATTATAGTGTCCCCAGTCACCATTGCATAAATATGAGTATAATTTCTTTCCATGTTTTGTTGTTGTTCCACCTATTATTTTTCATTTTCACTTACGTCATTTATGATTGATCTATTTGCCCTGAAGATGTTCTTGTGTTTTTCATATATTTCTTCCATGCTTTTATTTTATTTTTAGAGTTCTCTTCATTGAACAATTGATCCATGGTTTTCAAACTTCAGTCCTTTAATTTTTGAGCAGTCAATCCTCAATAAGCAATGAGTGTAATTCTGTAGATAAAAGACTTGCCTTCATGTAGCTCACTAATTTCATTATGTTCAATATTTTCAAAGTAATTAATTAATTGTATTATATGAAAACCACTTTTAGTGTTCTTAAAAAGTTTGACTAATTGCATTTCTTATACATCACTTGTATTATAGTGCATGTAATCAAAATAATGGTGTAAGGAATGTAATGTGAGAGACCACTTCAGATAAACTACATGCCATGAGCTGCCACTGGATTTTAAATGTGTGAATACTTTTTATAATATATAATTCTCTAAATCTTATTTTAACTATTTTAATTGAAGAGGAGGAATAGTAGTTTTGCAGGTTGCAAATATCAGGGGAAGAAAGGAATACAATTTTAATAATTTTTGTGGTTTACATTTAAAATAATCTAGAAATAAATTTTTGTGTATTTGTTTTTGCTGTGTTGTCCTCTGTGTTTCTTTCTGTTATGTATTAATCGTGACAGGTACTACTTTGCCTAGGTCATCAATAACTAGAATGTCTGGTGCAGATAAATCAAATCTTATTAATAAAGATGCATCTTCGGAACGTCAGCTACTTGCAGAACAAGCCAGCAATAAAGTCAAGACTGTTGAGGTAGAAATAGAGAACAGTCCTGATGACAGAGAGGAATTGATGGACATGTCATCAAAAATGGGATCTCTTGCAGTGAATGACATTGGTATGTGTTGAAGCAACGAGAACACTCTTGTGTGAGAGACGTGTTTGGCATGTGTGCTTATGGTGAAAGGAAATCGGAAATAGCTTGATAAGGGTTCAGAATGAGTTATTCACTTAATATTCTCATATTTTGGTTAAAGGGCAAATTCACACAGTCTAAGAATGAAAGTCTTAACAAGTTTGACAGTTCGAATTACTCAAATTGAATGAATTAAGATTGAATTTAATTTGGATTAGAAGTAGGATTATTAACCATTAAAATGTATTGAGAAAACGTAGGAGCCAGTGAAGCAAATCAGCAATTATTACAATCATCGCATGGCTTATTAATTTTGTCGCATTGTACTAGGCAGTATGAGCTTAAAGCATAATGTGGTGTTGGTGCAATGTGACTTTCTCTTGCTTGCATGCAGCAGTAGAGGATGAAGATGCTTCGTCCAGTGAGTCTAGTGAATCGTCAGATGATTCTGAAACGTCTAGTGCTAGTGAATCTTGTAATCCAAGTGTTGGGGAGGGTGAGTAGTGTGTTCAGTCTGTGAGATTTTTTTTTGTTTGTTTTGTTTTTGTTTAAACTGAAATTATTATTAAAAATAATTCTAGGATCTAATTAGTTCAACTGACCTTTGTCAGTAAATGAGACTGTAAACCTAGGGATTTCTTCATGATAGTTGTGTAAAAATGCTTTTTATATTCTTTTAAGTGATATTTTATCTCTCATGGACGCCTGAATTAAAATTTTTTTGACATACTTATTGAATGAAATTGTATGCGTCCTGTTAATCATAGAATTTTATCCAGATGTGTGTCAGTATCAATGCATTCTGTCTTATTTTCAGAAAAGAGAAATCGTGTTAATAGAGATGAAGTTCCAAGGATACCTCTTGGTTCAGATGTTGCCAAATCTATTCCTACAGTAAGTTCATTTGCAGAAACTATAGGAAGGTTTAAAAAATGTGCATATTTAGCCATAGCATTGTTTATACAATTTTACTTGGTGCTATAGAACTTATCAAAGTCTAATAGTGTCTATAAAATACAAATTATATAACATTTTTTCAGTGTTTGTGTGTAAATTATAATTAACATTTAAATTATTGCAGACGCCATCATCGCAACCTACCACACCTGAGAATGAGGACACTTCTTTGAGACGTCCTGGATTAATTAAAAATCGTAATCGTGAAGAAACGTCCAATAGAGTAAATCGTAAGTGATATTGGCTATAAGATTGTTATACAATTCATTTCATGAGGAGAAAATAGTTATTAACATCATATGGCAGAAAACAGTAAATTAAATCATGGTGATAATCAAAAAATATAATGATAATCCTCCAATAAATGTGTTTCTTCAAAGAGTTAAGGTTTATTACTGCAAATGAGAACATGGTGTTATATTCTGCTTTTGGTAAACCTCAGGAACTGGTAGAAAACAACACTTTTTGAATGTTGTAAACTAAAACTGTTTATTCTCCTTTTCGGAGACCATTATGTTCTCCACATATATATCCAAATATAGGATGACCCCTTAATTTTGAAAAGCTCACTTGAGAATTTTTTTCAATAATTGATTCTTACTATTCAATGTAATAATTATGAGTCTCCATTGACAACAATATTTTCTAATATAATTATTTATTATTTCTTATATAATTATTACATTGTAAACACCAACGAAAACTCACTACAGTACCAATAATATATCTTACTATTCAGTCAAAATAAAATTGCAAATTGTCTTATTGGCCAAAAGATAGTCTTGCTGATGTTGAATCTTTCTGCCTTAGCTATAACTATTTTTTTGCTCTTTAAATTAATATATTCATTGTTTTTGACACTACTATATTCATTTTCACATGTCATTGTTTCTTTCTTTCTGGTTCTTTTCCTGGTCTAGGTCATCCTGACTTTTTAGCACCCCTTGCTCCCCTGGATAAACTTTTGCATGTTGAATTTATGTTCTTTATTTTCAGTCTGATGCCATCTATGAACATACCCTTTTGTGACTCCAGATTTTCTTTCTGACACTCTTGTTCATGGCCTCTACTTCTTTAACAACCATTAATGTGAAGTTTGCATTATATAATGTTTGCCTGATAGAGTTATGAACTGCAGACTTGTTAATCTCTGTTCTGTGGGTAGAATGGGCAGAGCCACCAAGTTTCAAGTGTTTGGGACATTTTTGCTAAGATGTGCTGTCCCTTCATAGGTGAATGCTGTTGGGAAGCATAATACACGTTGGAAAGATTGTCACGTTGAAGGAAGTGGCCAAAAAGGGGAGAGGTTACAAATGGAAAAAGGAATTGCTATCGCAAAGCGATTGTAATTTAAATGTTTATTGTGATTACTGCCCAACTGTCACCACATAATTTTACAGAAGGAAGGCAAGGAGGTGAAAGGGGGAAAGAGAAGAATGAGGGAGCACAATGGAAAACGGATACATATTGAGGGAAGGAAGGTTGAGATGCACATGTAATGGCGTCAACTGTTTACCATGGCTACCAACTCTGGTAGGCAAGGTGTTGTTCTCCTATAAGCTCATGGTGCTAAGATGTGCTGTGTGATTGCTACTGGCTATGATGGCTGTGCTTCGAGACTTTGCCGAGTATCTGGCTGGCTGGCTGGCTGGTACTGCCTGTCTGTGGTTTGAGCATTCTATTTATATACCAACATGGCAATTGCTGAAATCTTCCTGGAAGTTTCTGTTGAAAAACAGGTTTCCAGGGCGATGTCAACATGTTACCTTTGCCTAAAGTTTTCCCACTGGCTTGGTTCACAAGGAGACAAAATAGTTTATAATAAAATATAGAATATTGCCGTTTTAATGATGGTTCAACACAAAAAAATATTTTTCCAATCGTTCTGTGTCAGTGGTTGAAAGTAGAATGTGTACTTCCATCAAGGTGCTTTTTTTCATTTCTATCTCTAGCAAAATGCTGATTGCACTTGCTAGACATCAAACTGAGAGTTGGTGCCACCACATCGTCAATCCTCGGCCTTATCGAATGCAATATATTATTGGGTGGTATGAATAAAAGTAAGCAGTTACTCCTTGCTCGGAGTTTCGGAGATCATTTTCAGTTTCGTATGAATAAAGTGGGTGAGCAATTGCTCAGTCTCTGAATACTTACTCCATCTCTGAGCATAATCTCAACTGGCGAGCAAATGCTCAGAATTGCTATGAACAAAGTTAAGCGTTTACTCTCTAGTGCAAGCACTTGCTCCAAAATTTCAGAGGGACCTTAGTAGCAGACTCACGGTTGAAAAGTAAGGTTAAATTAAAAAGTAAGGTTGATTTTTTACAGTGTGTTGATATAAAGATGCAGCGAACTAAAAAAAAATTACAAGATAAGGTGAAATTCTCGTGATGTAGACTATTAGAATCTTTGCTGATTCGAAAAGGACAATACATGGTTGATACGATTTTTGTCATCGTTTGCTTTCAGGCGCTTTTTCATATTGTATATCTTTTATGTTAATTGGCCATTGCTCTTTTCTACTTGGAATTTTTCAGGGTACTGTTTTTTTGAACTTTGTAATGTTTCGTTTCGACCACAGTGTACCACCGGCGGCTGGTCCTTTTCAAAAATAATTTTATATTCGCTTAGCATTTGGACAAAAACTAGCTGGGCCTCTGGCGCCTATTTTAGATTAGTGCAATCATATTCACATTTAAAGAACAAGACAACAAGACATTGCTCTTTATTCGGCACAAATGTGCATGACGTGTGTAACGTATGTATCCTTTTTTGTTCTCAAGAAACTAATTTTTAAAACTTTTAACCTGCATTATCTCTTGTTCACGACAAGCAAATGCTCGCAAGACATGAGCAAGTTCTTCAGAGACATACGAAGTTTTTATTCATACGAAATGGAGCTTTTGCTCAGTGCCGCGGAGTAGACTCGCTTTGCTCCGGAGCAAGTACTCCTGAGCAAATGTTCATTTGTATTCATATGATCTATTTTCATGTTGCATTTCTCTTACAATGCCAAAATTCTCTCATTACCGGCCTGTTCAAAAAAATAAGTCTGAATTGCCTGGCATATCTGTAGTAGATGCTAAAATTCGTCAATGAAACTTACATAGTATAACTTATATAGTATACTTACGTAGTATAAATATGTGGAGTTTTCATAATCTTTGCAGATAATTGATACATCAGCATTTCAGTCATGACAAAAAAGGTAGTGCAAAAATGTAGATCTGTCTAGCATAATCTGTGAATATAAGATAAATTAGATCATTGGGGGGGGAGGGAACTCATCTTTTATTCGTAAATAATGTATATTCTTCTCTTTCTTCTTTTTCTCTTGTGTCCAGGTGGCATCATGATTAAGGGGTTGTTGCAACACTGATCCTGTAATACATTGATGTAAGTGGATTGCACCAAATATGGGTCAGCAGTTCAAACTACTCGGCTAAATTTATTATACCGATTCAGTCTTGACCGCCTCTTGCTCTGTTGGCACACTGCGCCACTCTCCAAAGGCCCTTTTACTTGACTAATAAAATAGAGCCTTTCAGGAGCTGCTAAGGAAACCGTTCACTCAATGAAACATTCTGGGTCCGCAACCTCCACCTCAGGCGAGACATCTTTGATCACTTTTGGCCAACAATATTTTTTCGAAGCTGCCTAGTGTTGGAATTTGTGGCTCTGAGGTGATATTTTTTTTAAATAGGGAATTAATTCCCAGGACGCTTTTTCCTAAATTCACTATAACCAAGATTCAGTGTTCACTATAACAGAATCTTCTTACGCTTATTTGTAATGTATGTGAAGTAGTATTAGTGCTGAGGTCTACTTTAACTGAATATTTAAGTTCACTATAACCGGAGTCAACTGTACTTGAAAAAGAATGTTCGTTATTTTTAATTTGTTAGATGCTGCTAAGTTTTTTAATGCTTTTCCATTGTCATTTACTTTATCTTCACCAAAATATCCAATTATTTCTTTTAATGGTTATTTCCTTGCCTTTAAAATCTCCATGCAACATGATGCGCACTTCTGCTTTCTGAGAACTGATACCCAGATAAGAGAAGTTGTAAGCCTAATTTTTTAGTTATTAATGTTTAGCTTAGCATGATACTTTCTGAGCAACCTTATTTCTATTTGATATTATGTATCCTTTTTCTTGTCAGATGACAGGATAAAATTTGATTAAATGGGATAAAACTGATTTCCTTGGCCTTCCGTAAATTTACTTCTATCCCCTAAACTTGGAAGGAGTTGTATTTGCTCTTCTGTCAGATTGTCTTTTCATGATCGTTCAACTACCTCTTCATTTATTAAAATTTCACTATTTATTAATTCTTGGTTGCGGTCAAAATATGAAATGGGGAATGCTTTTCTTTAAAAAAGTGTCACAATTTCTGTAGATGTGTGATGGAAGAGAAGCTGAGGCAGGCAGTTTGCTAGTTCCAGTGAAGGGAACATATCATGTTTGTCAAATGCCTTTCTTACCCCCCCCCCCCCTGCCCTTTAAGCTTGGGAATTAAACTAGGCTCAGGCAAGGGAAACAATGTTAGCTGTCCAGCCAAATCAGACAAGCAAACCCATAATGCCCAAAATGCAAACACACGATACATGTTATTGATCTAATTTTGTGCCTTTGAAATGTGACACAACGCTAGAAGTTTTGTTTATTTATTTTTTTATTTATTTGATTTATTGCAGGTCTTGAAAAAGAAACACCTGTACATAAAGCTACCTCACCAACAGGTACTGCCAATCGCAATTCTGAAAACTCAGAAGTCGTCATTAGAAGGACACAAAGCTTTGAAGATGAAAAGTAAGTATTTGTATGAAAAAAAGTGCATGCTTGCTCTGTTAATTATCATTTCACCAATTAGGCTTCAACTAATGCTGCCTTGGCCTCTTATTTGCATCATAAGGGAAGCAGAAAGCTTGTAAGACTTAATCAACCAGATTCCTTTTCTTTCCGAATTTCTTCTCAGTTCAGATTCTCTTGACTGAAAGCAGGAAGGAAAAACATAATAAAGGTTCCTGGTTGATAATTAATGACACGAGTCATCCATAGGAATGCCTTTGCCTAATAACACAGAAAATTAGGTTTGCATGTTTGTGAATTTCTCATGTGATATTATAAGATTGGAAATTACCACTTTTCTGCCAAGTGAATCTTGAAATTTGTTTTTTTATTGCCAAATACATGCAAACTTGATGCTCTGTAGCTTCCCATATAATTTGTTAATATAATAACATACCCGCATGCTCATTTTATGTGTTGCATTTCCCTTTCCCCTTTTTTTTTGTGTTTTCATGCATGCAGGTTCTATCGCAGATACATGGAGTTGCAAGCAAGAATTAAAGCTGGCTCTTGCCCCACCCTCCATTCGTCCCCAGCCTCAGCCCCTCCTGCCCGCTCCGCATCTCTACGAGAAAAGCAACTACCAAGGTAGGCACTTGTCAGGAAGAATGTGCTGAGCACTCAACGATCAAATACACTGTGTAATTCTGTAATAATGAGGTAATGATGAAATATGTGAGAGGGTATTCCAGTGTAATTCAGAAAACCAAATGTTAAAGGAGCAGCTGTTGGGAGATACCTGGAGGTTCAGTATAGCACCATGTATTTCAGATGTTTCCAACAGCATGTGCATGCTTAACACCTATAAACTAACTTGTTCCGAAGAGTGGTGGAACGAAATAATTAGCTAGGAATATTCTTAAAAGGTGGAGTGATTGCCACTTGCTTGCATTGAGTGAGTTGCCTTGTTACTGCCAACATTTTCCTCTCTCCACTCTTATCCCCTCACACACACCCTCTCACATGCACGCATGCACACACTCGCGCACACACACTCATACACTCACTCATACTCTTACTCACTCGCATTCTGGTATTTCTTGAACCAGATTCTACGAATTCCCAAGTTTCTCACCTCAAAAAAACAGAACACACTTCGATTTCCTCTTGTAATTTGGTCAATGATTTTGAAAACACCTTGTTTATGTCACAAGGTAACAGAATGCCATTCAGAATATAAAAAGGAAGTTGACTTTGCCAATATAGGAAAATTCAGTAAAGGCAACTTAGTTTAAAGCTCCTAATTATTCACACTGATTCTCTTTCAGAGCAAACAAGAGAATTTCCCTTTTTCCATGTTACATTTTCAATTCCTTTCGAAGTTTGAAGATTTTGCAGTACAATAAGAATGAAGATGGCTTGTGTACCATTTCAATAATAATTGGGCCCTTGCAAACATAGTATAGTATAGTGAAAGTACCCTTTTACTGAAAGCAACTTGGGGTAATCAGATTCTGAAATGCACATTTTATCATATAAACTTTCATAATTACAATACAAGGATTAGTTACCTTTGTATTATATAATTCTAAGATTAAATGACTAACAATCCTCAACAAGTACTTGCGCGTAAGGCTGTTTTTATCGGTCAGAAACAAAGTGAATGTCGTTTACCTGTGAAACAACTTAGGATGGTAGCTTGTTCCATCCTACTTCTTTTTCTATTTTGAGACTGCTAATATAGCAACTTGCAAGTGGAAAAGGATATGATATCAGAGGAAATTGTGAAATCCTCAAATTCGTATCATTAATAGCATGCTGTATGCTTTTGATATTCTTAACATTCCTCTGCTTCTTCCTTGTCACAGGGAGTGTCAAAATAAATGTTAGGGCATGTAGAGGGTGGGAGAAGATCACTTTGGATATGACGTAAAATTTATTGTAAGGAAGTTACACATGTGACTTTTGTCCAACTCTGTTGATGTTTGGCAGGTACACAAAATCGGCATAAGACGATGATGTGTAAGTCCTTTGATTGCATAAGAATGGTATCTGCTAAACACCAATATATGACGGATTGCTTACCAATGTGTCACATGTGCAGCTTTCTTAAAAGAAATTTCCCACCATATCTTCATTGGGAAAAACGATCAATTTAATAGCCCTGCAGTTTTGTAACATTTATTCTGAGACACCTGTGTACTTAATTTTTTTTACCTGCAATGAGCCTTAAATATGTGCTCACTTATGAGTGATGGATGTCTCCTGTCATGCAAATATTCCTGTCATGCAATAAATTCAAAAGATTGATCTACATTTCATAGACTAATATTACAATATAATTTGAGAAGTTTTAAAAAAACATTATTACTATGATAAATGTTTCTACTTGGTGGACAGTTACAGTCAAAACATATATTGTACTTACAATACTTTTTTTAAAACCGCTCCAATTACATTGTAATATTTGTCTGTAAACATACATCCGTCTTTTGTATTTCTTATCTACATTAATTATGAATTTAAAAATTATATATTTATATATTTTAAGATTTTATATTTATATAATTAATCATGCAGGGAGTAATGTGTTAACACATTACATCAAAATATTATTTTTATATTATATAATATTATAATATATCAAAATATATCTTATATTAATCTAGAAATTTATGATAATGTGATGTCAGAGGTCCAATTTATATTGGGTAATAATGAAATTAAATCAAGCATTGCTTGGGAAATAAAATTAATTAGCAATTCACATTGTGCTAAATGTTTTTGTAAAGTAAGTTAAAATTCAATTCGTTTCGATTCTTCATAAATGAGAATTTTTAAAAATTTTATTTAGTTACGAAGATATTTTGAGATGAAGTAACATAATAAACATTAGATGAAATATTTCTATTCTAAACATATCAATAAATTTGAGAACTCAAATTTGGACTATGAACATGCTTTGACCTGTCATTTTAATATACGAATCTTAAATGTCCACTTCTAGGCGAGGAGACGAGAGCAGCTTGGTTAATCGAGACTCAAGTGCTGCTACACCAGTGTCGGCAGCAAGTAATTCTCCAACAGCAACCAGTCCACTGCCAACAAGTCAAGTGCGAAGGTTCGTCCCTTTTTCGTTTTATTCACGGGCTTTCCTATGACTGAAATTATTTCAGTTGATTTATGAATTAAATTAAAGATGTCCTCAATACATCAACCCCAAAATTTATTTGCCACGGCAATACCTTCTTAAAAATGAAGAAACAGCTATTTCTCAATGATAGAAGTTTTTATGCAAAAGGAAAATGTCATTAATTTATTGGAGTAGCAGCAAAAGCTAATAGGTAGATATTTGATCACATTGGATACGTTTGCTTCCTCAAATTTAATGTGTTATAAGAACACTTCTTTGAAGCAGAGATAACTGAGTAAACGTTAATGATTTTTTTTTCACATCCTGAAGGTTATGGTGTTCTTCCTGTGGGTTATTGTTATGACACTAAGATTTTTTCTTAATTTTCTTCTATTTTTCTTTAATAATGTTCTAGTAAGTACTGAAAAGCTTTGTTATGTGAAATTTGTGATAAAATATTTGTGGTGATGGTAATCTTTCTTCCACCAATTCTTAATATCCTTGTTTGCTTGTTTATATATATATATTCACAACACTTAGCTTGGTTTCATGATTGTACTATCACTGTTGTGCACTTGTAGTAAAATGCAAAGATGATTATTGATAGGATTTCAATGTGAGATGTTTGTGTATGGAAGACATGTTTCATGTTTGTGGGAATGAAGGAAGAGAATGCTCATTTAATTGAGCTGTAATGTGGTATTAAAGAAAATATTGTGTTTCTTTCGGCAATGGGGAATATGTGCCATTTATTATTCTGATACTGCAGCTAGACAACCTTTTCAATCAATCTCTTTCAAAAATTATTATGAATGGATTTTCATCTAACGTTTCTTCCTATTGAAGCATATTTGAAAACGTATTTTCTTCAACAAGTAATATTCCTATTCCAACTATCAGAAGATTTGGTTACACACAATACCATACACAATCTAGCAACGCTGTATAACTTCAAAACAAAAATAGTATTTTTAGGTGCGAATGTTTAATAGGTGAAGTGATACATAATTAAATTATTTTGAATACCTAAATAAAGATGAAGTTATTTCATCTCTTTTTTTGTAATAACCATCTTCCAAAAACAAATTGTTATGTCTATGAGTTGATCTTGCTTTGTTGGTAAAATCACTTGCTTGGTTTTGTATATTGAAGCTCACTGGTTCTTTTGAGAGACCCTGCTCTCTGCCTAGTTGTTATGCTGTTCATTTGCAATTGAAATTATGACGCATTTGTGTCTTATTCTGCAATGTTGTGACAGTGTGCATTGAAAACTCCTCATTAAGTGTAACAATGCACTGAATCGGGACAATTTCCTAATTGAAGGCTCGCATGTTGAAAATTTTCATTCTTTAGCCTCCTCTTTAGTCGGTGTTAGTAAGAGTTTGCTGTAGAGTGGTTACTATTACAAACGTGAGGTTTACATGTATTTGTGTGTTGTGAATAATAATTCACAGTATTCAAGCCAAAACATAACAGTAGTATACTTAGTACATTGTTACTATACAGAAAAATATGAAATTTGAACTTTGCAATTTGATATAAACTGTAACCATATTCTCTACTTCAGAATTAAATGTGAACGATGCAGGGTGTAATGTGAAAGAATAGTAGGAATGAGACTTTGTTGACAGTAGTAATATATGTGATATGTCAATCAGAGCATCATGTATTTTCAAAAAAATAACTTTTCAGATAACTAGCACTTTCATCAAAATGTCAAAAGATAAATCTTTGCATTATTTCAATACTTTTTTTGTTTAGAGTGTAGCATGGAAATTAGGTAAATTTGAAAATGAATTTCCTGACAAAGGTCTTCCTTGGTAGATCATTAGTGCCATAGGTGATAGCCAAAAGTTGGTTAAGTTAACCACAAGACAAACGCAAGTAAAATCATAACTTCAAAATGTATGAACTGTTACAACTATAGGGAATATCCCAGAGCTGTGATTACACTGGTTGACAAAATTTAACTTTTTGTCTGTTAAACGGAATATAATAGCTGTTTCTTATAGAAAATGATGTTCTGATTTCAAATTTATGGAGCATTTATTTGTTACAGGCAAGGTTTCTTTGTAATAAGCAATTAAAAACTATATACTGCTAATAAGTTACTGGTTTTCTTGACTTTACTTTCATATAAAATCTCAATCAAAATGTAATTTTGAACGATTGTTTACTGTATTTTGTTTGGGTTTATTATTTTTTAGTGTCCAGCATTAGCCTGCAAGCATATTTTTCTTCCATTTTCCCTTATAAAATGTTTCTGTTGTTGCAAGGTCATGGTGGAATTGGAGCACTGAGATTTTCAGGAAAATGTAATCAAAGTGTGAAGACAGAAAATTGTATATTAAGGACCATGTTACATCGCTGAGCTTTATAATTGCGGAGGAGTTCCAACACTATTTCTTCACAGGTCTCAGCTTTTCTGTTACCGAGAAGTTTAGATACGATCTCTTGAAGCAGCATCCATGCCGCCCTTTCAACATTATTCAAACTTACCCCAAAGTCATGATCCCCCATACGCTTCTTCGTTTGTGTTCCTATGAATATACCCGTCTTTTATTTTTGACTCACTGGTCCTCGGGAATTTGTTCTTAAAGTACAGGTAACCTGGCCCACTTTTTAATGCATCATCATCACCTTCATCTTCACAAAATTTTTCATCAATCTATGTTTGGTATGCAAGAGAGGAAGATATGCGTGTTACAAAGGGTTACATTTTTGGTCCAGGAATCAGATGTTGTTGAGACCTGCACTTCTTCACAGAATGATTTTTGTGATCTTCGCTATCATATTTGCATAGAACGCAGCAAAATTTAGAATATTCATTAGAATACACCCAACAAAAGTGCCTTATACAGTCCATGAATTCTGCTGGTATTGTATCTTTGATAAAAAAAGTTTCAGGATACCACAAATCTGTTTCATAAGGGCTGCATAGACAAGAGGAATAGCTTGTTTCTCATTTCCGATATGAGCCTGGCTTTTAAACAGAGTTTGGAGGAATCTGTAAACCTTCATTTCTTAGGATGGTCGCCAAAGTACATGGTAATGCTTGAATATCAGTACAATACATTAGATTACCTTCTTCTGAGAACAGGTGTCGGAGAATTTGTCCCTGTCGTCAGTACACCTGTAGTTCCTTCTGAAGGAGGTTCCAACCCTTTAATCAAGATGTCGAAAGTTCTGCCTGATTCTTCGACAAGTTTAAATCACAAACTAGATCTTTCTGTTCCGACTGAATCTATGACATTCTGTAGATATTCCACCGAAATCTAGGTTTTTCATGTCATCTTTTTTGGTACTTAAATTTAAATCTTCTTCGCCACAGTTTTCAGAATGGAAACTCCAATTATCTGGTGGCACCGGGAATGAAAGGTCGTTGTGAAGAACAGGCCTGACAACTGAAGGAAGGTTGTGATATTGAATGGTCTTCTTGGTTTTGCTTGTGATTCCTGCAAATTTGGTATTACAGAAATAACAGCCTCTGGGGTGGTGCTTTGATTCCCTCTGTGCCATGGGACTTGCAAATGGCATAGTTCACAAATTTCCGCTTAGCCAACCACTAATTAAAGTTACATAAGAAACGCAGCAAATGTGAAGGGGCCCATAATTTTTTCTGATCACCAATTTGATGCCTGATATAGAATTTATTTGCCTTTCTTCTTAAGGGAGTAATATTCCACCTTTGACTCTTCAAAGTTACATCACCACACACATAACAGAAATTGTTTGGATAGTTTACTCACTGCTGTGGTATTGCAAAGAATTTGTTTGTACAAAAATTAACTCTAGAATGCAACAAATAGATTAATTGTGCACTACAAAACTATCAACATCTTTCTCGTTCGACACTAATGTACTGTAACCAAAGTACATAATGCACAGAGTCGGTGTGGTGCAAATGTGGGTCACTACAATTCACTTTGCAATGCATAAAGATGCTCAACGGATTTGACTGGCCTGGCATGTCTTGAGTGGAATCTACAATAACATACATTATTATTGAGTACTGTCTTATAATAAATTTGCAAGGAAATTGAATATCAGCATAAATGACACATGGTGATCTGTGAAATAAATATAGTTTTGGTGAATGTGTGATTACACCAAAACTGAACGCAATTGTGTATTCGGCTTTAGCGTAGCAAAGTACTTTAAGAAACAGCTAGAGTTAGTCATTTAAGAAAATCAGTGTCGGCCAGTGTTATCAGTTGTTTGAAATTCTTTGGATTAAGGTATGCAAGATCAACAATATCATTGCTAATTTAAATGCTCCTAAGGATTGTGGAGAAGTAGCGTTTAAAATGCCTCTGACTTGCAATGGAAGGAAAGACTCGGGCATTGATTATCCATAAGATTCATATCTTTGTAAGAGAATTTCTGAGAGAAAGGACAAACTGTCTAGAAAGAAATTTTGTTTTGTGTTCGGATGGATATGGTGCAAACATGGTTAGAAATTGTAGCATCAGGAAGGTGATACATTTCAGCAGGATGGAACACCTGCACAGAGGGTGTATTTTGTCCAAACTGGTATGTTGATAGAGTTAACATGTTCTGTTCCAAACAATTTAGCCATTCTATGATAATTTGAATGCTCTTGGCTATAATGTTTGGGCAATAGCAAGAGTTACTAAGTAGTCCAGAAACCCTGAAGTGGCATTTTTACCCTTTCTTTTTTTTTCTTCTTCAATCACACAACTGACATGCAAAAGAGTTAATTTTATTAATTAAAAAACAGTTAGTAATGAAATGTTTGTATGTTCCAGACAAAAAAGAAGTGATTTTTCTCAAATTAAGCACTGAATCTGTACTTTAGGTGAAACATACACAACATATAGAATACATTCACAAGTTGAAATCTAAGTGAAGTTGAATTGTCGATTGTGTAAGGAAATGAGAAAGTTAATAATGCTACTCAAATGAAAAGAGATTTTATCTATCTTATAGATGTTAATGAAAAGCAAAAAATTGACCGATAGTATTTTAGTTCACAGAAAATACTCTTATGATGTATCATGATTTGAAAATGCTTTACCTTTCAAATGATACTTCTTACTATTATATCTTGGTAGAATTATGTTTTCTTCCTGTTTTTTATTCTATGATGCTTTTTGCAACGGAAAAGAAATTTTGAAATTATTAGGTTAAGAAAATCAAATGGTGTTTGGGAAAGCAGTTGAATAAAATTTTTCAAAAATGTTACAATTGGCACTACTATATTTTTCAAATGTATAAATGTATTGATATATGTCAATATGGTTGATGTATATCCATATAAGTTGACATCCGCAATTTCTTTTGCTTAGAGATTTGACACTAGCTTTCTTGAACAAGATTTAAATACGTTCATTCTGTTATGTAATAACTTGTAATAATATTTAGTGTACCCCTTATTTAGTTTCTTACCTTTAATTTTATCATTATCCATTTTCTTTTTTAACACCTTGGAGCTATTTCTTTTGTGCTTGTGCTTTCAATGTTGGTGTTGAGGGAAGTCCTTGGCTAATTTCAGCCCCTCCAAAGGCAGTGTTACCACTGCACCAACCACACCTACATCTCCTGGTGGAAGTAAACTCAGTCCGGGCAACATCTTTAAGAATTTTTTCAAGTGCGTTGAGTTGTCACTCTTCTTTTATCTTGCTTTCTCATTATGTATAGTGAGTCTTTTGTGAATGGCTTTTATTATTTCTTGCATTAGTTGCAATTTCTTTAACAATGTAGAAATTTCATATGGTAAGTAGCATTGCATTTGTTTTGCAAGATAATCAGTTTGTTTTGAAGAACTCTGTCTTGCTTTTGTCACCTTTTTGAGAAGTGGGTTTTGTTTTTAGAATGCATGTGGAAAATGCTTAGTATCCACATTGTTGTTCCTATTTGCATGAAATATTTAAGTTTGAACTACATTCAGTTCTAAAGTTCTACACTTCTGCTTGGGATATAAATACGAAGTGCTGTGTGTCAAGTTTAAACCATTCAAAAGAAATTTTGAATTTCATTCTTGTACGAAACTTTGTTAACTTATTAAAAAATTAATCTGTTGACTAATATTTTTCAAAAGGCATCAGGACACTCCCCTCATCTTTTTCATTATTTGTATTGCATTTTATATTTTTCTGTTGTTTAAATAAACCTTTTATTACAATTTTTAATCTGAATTTTGCAAGTACTTATTGGTGGCATGGGTATTGTTGTTCACTCTAAATTACACTTATCAAAATACAAATGTATCATTTTTGTTCAGATCTTTTGTACCACCTGTTCGAGATGAAGAATCTGAAACTCAACGTAAAGCACATGCTAAGAGAGTACGTGAAACACGGCGATCTACTCAGGGTGTTACTTTAGAAGAACTAAAGACTGCAGAACAAATAGTAAAAAAGAAAAATCAGCAAATGCAACAGGCCAATCAACAAGTTAATAATAGCAACAGTGACCAGGTGAGTACATTACCATGCTTCACTTTTTGCATTTTATGGCCAATTGACCGATGTGAAAACTTCTTTACTCAATAATACAAAGCACTACATGCAAATGTTGGTTAAATTTCTTGATATGTGATTATGTATTGTAGCACTCACTAAAAGTGTATGTATATAGAAATATGTATTAATTATTTTCTTAGTGAACTGTGTGCACAAATGGTTAATAGAATTCAGAAATTTTGTTGTTGATTTCTTTTCGACCACAACAAGACAAAAGCAAGAGTTCTTTTTTTCTTCCTGTATTTATCCACATACTATAATTTTATGCAAAAAAGATGTGTAGTGCCTGATATTATGTTTTTCATTACTTGTACAAAAAACTTGGTTTAAGTTGTAATGTTATAATTTAAGAATTGTTTGAGAGTTCAAATGTCTGTTGTTTAATGTACATAATATAATGAGTGTTTAGCAATACACAGCAGTATGGAAACTGATTAGCTTAGTGCAAACCTCACAATGCTTAATTTAAATTCTAATTTTGTGCTATAACTTTTCTAGTAAACATCTAATTTTGTTAAATATGAATTTCTGATAGAGAAATAGGAATTCTTGCAAATACATGTTTATGCATTTCCAGACATCGTTACATTACTAAAAAATTACAGTAAAATGTCTTACAACGGCAGAACGCAGTAGTTGGTGTGGTAGGGTTGTACTAACAGGCCTACATGCTTTTCAAAGCTATCATGAATGTTATGAAGGAAACGAAATGAAATCTCTATAAACTAGTTATTAAAAGCAGTTAAATTATCTAAAATCAATCTTAATGAGGGCACTGGTGAAAAATTAGAATTTCAAAATGCTTTAGATTGATTTTTCAAATGGCATCTCGAGAGTTTTTATTTAGAGTATTGCATGGAAAATCTAATTCTAAAATAATGTTCTCACTATTTTTAGATTTTCTTCATTTTCAACTATTTGTCCTAAATTATGGTCCTTGGTAAAATGTTCATTAATTTTGTTCCCTGTTATGGTGGAAACTTTTTTTCCCTGAAGCATTATATTTATATAACGAATTGCTGCATTGTATTAAAAGGCTTGTCTCTGAAATCTTCTAGCCTATGTTGTATTTTAATACATTTTACATTTATTTAATTTTATTTTTATATAATTTAATTTATTTTTTAATTTAAAAAATGTTTAATGAAAAAAACTTTAATTAAATGCAAGCCTCTGTAATTGTATAAGCTAGTTTGAACGTCATGTTGTTGCTAGAGAATGAAACCCAGTAGTCCATCTGTTTGATGAATTCCTGGGCTTAATCATTTTTAATTCATCATTAGCTCAATTTTTGTTTTGTTTTTGTGCCCCTTTTTTACCTTTTCCATCAAGCAAAGGTTTTAGCCTCTACTTTTGCATTTCATTTTGTATTTTTGGGAATTGCAGGGAATTCCTAATTCTTTAAATTTAGAGATGGAGTCTGCTTTCCAATATTGAATACATTTACTAAAAAATTATTTGTTAATTATGGGTGATTCTTTTTCCAAGAAGTACTTGTAATTCTCAAGTTTTTGAGGAAAAGCAAGCACACATCAGTTGCTCCAGATTTGCTTGCATAAGCTTTTCTGTATTATTTACCTGTTACACTTTGCATTTAGTTGTTAATTGACAAGAAGGCTTGGACATGCAATGTGTAATAACCCTGCATTTGCCGTAAGATTTTTAATCATTTATATCATTCGCAGGAATCGCAATTCAAATAAGTGCGATATATTTTTCTTTAAATATTCATTAGAAGAGGATGAGTATTGTTGGAATAATATTTCTGTCTACTTGACAGCAGGGGTGGGGGTGAAGCGATATTGCCACTTGCTCGGGTGGCAGACACTTGGTCATTCTTACATTAGATCACAATAGTAGCAAGAAACGCATTGCAATAAGAACACACATCAGAGACGACACAACCGCATACACAATGCATAACCAAAGAAGTAATGGTGCTCTTAAATTTAAAATTGCTTCATGCTGTAAGATTTCATTGCTTCCTTGGTGCAACTTCAATGGTGTCAGAAGAATTTGAAGCCTCTGATAGGATAACGGAACCCCCCTCTCTCCACTCAGCTTGAAGCTGTCAAGTAGACAGAAATATTATTCATACAATAGTTGTTATGTTTGGTTGGAAGCAAATATATCAAAGTTGAAAACCCTTATCTTCTTGAATTATCAACTTACATCTCACGCCATTAACATGGTAAATTATAAAGAAATTTCAAAATGACATTGAAAATTTTCAGACAAAGATTCCGATGCTATTACTACTAATTATCAAAATCAGCCTTGGTGACAATGTTTCAAAAAACTTGTATGTCACAAGAAGACGGTGCCTCTGAGCAAGTGTGCACACTTTTGTGCGAGTTCTGCGTTTTTTATTAAAAAGGTGATGGGCAGTGGGTATATGGCTAAGGTAATACTTGCCTTACTTGCTATTTACAATTGTGTGCATTCCTAAAGGACAAGTATTGAAGTCAGGACAGTGGAGAATCATGAAGGCCAGTGTGCAATGAACAGAAGCATTTCCTTGTATTGTCATGAAAACGACAGTGTCTCTATGGATCTAAATTTTTCTCTCCCCCCCCCCCCTCCATTCACCATTTTGCTTCATCCATATACTTAAGCAACTTTAATTTTTTTCGCGTGTGGAACATTTATTTTGTTGTTGGCCTGCTGTTTTGAAATACTTTTTTGAGAAATATCTCTAGCACTTTATAACTAGCTTTGGCAACTTCTATAAGAGTCAATGAATTTTCTACCTGCATGTAACACATGAGGTCCTGCTTCTGTTTTACTTTTAATTTTAATTGTAAGTATAGTAGAAAGTTCAATAAAACTGATAACATTTTTGTCTTATAGTTATTACTTACTTTTGGGATCATCTACATAGGTAACTGAAAGGTTTTTAGTATGCCTAGTCCATTAACGACAATAACTATTATTGCTTTCCAGTGTTCTATTATTAGAGGATTTTTATTACAAATCCTGACTGAAACCCAAAGGGGAGGGGTGTCTCTGTAGATGTGGTGAAACCAGACTCTAGTGGAAGGAGAATCCAGTTCCTCCAGGTATGAGGATTGGGTGATGGGCACCCCATCATTTGGAAAACTCAAAAATCACAAAATTTGTCTACACAATTTCAAAACAAAAACGAGAAAGTGGAAAACTATTTTCCACAAGAAAAAGAACTTTGCAAATCTGAAAATGGAACATTCAAGAGATATTAACAAAAGTCAATGAAGTAATTTGGGAAGTCGACAAGCGTGGCCTGAATATTGTCACATTATCAAAAACTAATAAATTGAGTATGTTACTTGATAATATCAGTGGTTGCTGATGGAGCTGAATCAACAACTTTCATTGAAAATTCCTTGGTTGGTTCAATCATAAGGGCAGACACTAATATACATGTGTCTAACATCGGAGGTGCATTATGGATTGTTGATAGCATGTCAAAGAAAATGATATACAAGCTACGAGAGGGCTAGAATGTGGCTCAGATCTTTTTTTTGTCTTGGACAGTGAATCAAAGACCTATTTGCAGAAACTGAGGAACAGAATGGCTTCAGAGCAGGGAGTTCATGCATTGATGGTATTTTTATTTTTACATTAAAAAATTTAATGTAGAAACATAGGTAGAGCTATCCTATTTGTGGACTTACAGAAGATATACAATACTGCCATTAAATAAGATATGGGCAGCCATGAAGAAAAATGGTATCTCTAAAGCTTACAATAATGCTGAAAGAACATTGTGTACTGAAAATTACTGCTCAGAATTGGGAAAAGACTTTCTCCCAATGTAAATGACAATATATTTTACACTGTGGCGTCATGTTGGGTGCAATAATACACAGACGATAGTGAGTTTAACCTATTGCTAGTTTATTAATAAATGCATCCACAGCCGAAATAAAACTTTTCTACAATAGTTACATTAACAAAATGAATCGAGCCCACTACTAGAAGTTATTTTGATTCTACGGCTACCACACCTACTTAATTATCGAATAGATACGATCGTGTGAAGCACCGCAGAATTTATACACGACTCGTCACTTGTGTCTAACTACTTCATGACAAAGTACGTTGCCGGCCCTAGCCTACGCGCACGCGGTCCGCACCCCACCCGGCGCGCTGCCTCCCATCCGCACAGCTCGGCTCCTCGAAGAGATAAGGGCCCGATGAAACGGCGCAACCACCTAGCTGCGCCCACCACCCCTTCCCTGGGCTTTTCCGCTACGTCACACCCTGACACCCCAGCCTTAATCCAAGTGGCTTGCCACGCGGCGAGCACGTGGTCACCTTAGCGTCTCTCCTACGGCACGCGGTCGCCCTGTTGTCGCAACTATGTTTGTGCACGACGCTACAATATATTACACTACGTTGATAATCAGCTTGCCATAGCTGGTAATGAAGATGGCCCAAGCTATATGTTTCGTAAGCTTCAGGAAGAGTGTGAAAACTCGGGGTCTTACTATTAGCATAGAAAAGAATTGGAATATATGGTAGGAGGTGATGAAGGACATGTGGACATCGACATAGTAACTTACGAGATCAAACAATGCAAGTCAGTCAGATACCTAGGTGTAACTCTTTCCTCAAACGGTAGAAGTGCTGATAATATCTCTAATACAATAGGACAAGGAAATAGAGTAATCCAACGAAGATCTTCGTGGATCCAATTACTTCCTACAATGATTTACAAGAGGAATTGGTGCAAGTAAAGGCATGGTCTGAGAAATCGATGCTTCCCCTAAATAGTTCCAAATGTTGTCCTCCATCTTGGAAAGAGAAACCGTATAAATCCATACTTCATCCAACAGGAGATGGTTGAGCAAACCGAATCACAGGTGGACGTAGGGAGTGATCATATCACAGGATCTCAAGTGGCAGAAACAAGTTGCTGACGTCGCCAGAAAGGCTAATGCCTCTACTTACCTGATCCGAAACGCAATTATTGA